GTGGCTTCGCAGTCCGTTCCATCCGTAGGATGAATGGCACCCCTGTCAGATTTGAGACCCGGCAGACGGAGGAGGCAAAAGACCATGCAACATGGATTGTTCGCTCCCATCAGCGAGCCTCATCTGTTTCTTGATGTGCACATACACCTCAGGTTTCAGCTTAACAAACAGTAGTCTTTGTACTTTTCTGCGTTTCATGCTCATCTCGCCTTGGGGCCATGCTTCGTCGTTGCTGCCGTTGTTTGCTTGTGGCTTCGATGGCGCCTTGGGCGCCTGGGAGCGGCTGCGGGATCTCTCCGACTCGGGCGGCGCTCTGATGCCCTCGGCCCGCGCCGAGCACGCCGGGGCCTGGGACGCCTTGAGTCGGACTCTGCTCGTGCAGGACGGCAGTGGCCTGGTGGGTGACTTGTGGGCCTACGACGTGGAGGTCCAGGCCTGGATACGGAGGTCGGGTCAAGGCCCTGCGCCCCGCGCGTCTCACGCGGCCGGCTGGGATCAAGCCGCCCGAGCGCTCTGGGTGCATGGCGGCTACGGCTACGACGGCTCGACGACGAAGTGGTACCGGGACGTGTGGAGGCACCAGTCCGGGACTTGGACTTTGGAAGCCGGCGACGGAGGGCCGTGCGAACGTGAAGGCCACGTGATGGTATGGGATCCCGGCACGGCGTCGCTGCTCGTGCATGGCGGCTGGACTGGTGCCAAGTGGCTGTCCGACTTGTGGACTTACAAAGCGGTGTCCAAGCAGTGGCAGCAGCTGAACATCAGCGATGCGCCGATGGCTCGCTCGCACCACGTGGCGGTCTGGGATGGGGCTGGCCGGAGGGTCTGGCTGCATGGCGGCTACGGAACGGGCCTCTTCGCAGATCTGTGGATCTTGGACCGCGGCCGCTCTTCCGTCTGGGCGGAGATGACGTTTGCGGGAGGCCCCACAGCGAGGTCGGGCCATGCAGTGGCCTGGGATGAAGCGGCTGCCGCCCTCTGGCTGTATGGGGGGAACGATGGCTTCATGAAGCAGGACCTTTGGAGATACGATTCTTCGGCAAACAGCTGGGATCTCATCAGGGACATTGTGCAATCCGGGCCATCGGCACGCTGGTCTCATGTTGCTGCCTGGGATGCGGGAGCCCAGGCCGTCTACATCTACGCAGGCTACAACGGGACACTGTGCGGAGACCTCTGGAGATTTCTGGTGACCACGACCTCGACCACACATACGGCATCAACCCTTTTGACGAGCACGTCGACTACGTCGACGATCAGTTCGACCTACACCCACACATCCACAGCAAGCAGCACAAGCACAAGCAGCAGCGCAAGCAGTGTCAGCACCAGCAGCGTCAGCACTAGCAGTCTCAGCAGCAGCAGTGTCAGCACCAGCAGTGGGAGCAGCAGCAGCGTCAGCAGCACCAGCAGTGTTAGCGACACCGCCAGTGTCAGCACCAGCAGCATGAGCAGCAGCTCCACTTTCACCAGCACCGTGCTCACGTCCACAACCGCCACGATCACAACCACGACCATCCCTGCCCTTACAGTCGTAGCTTGTTCCCTCCCGACCTGGCTCTTGGTTATCATCAATTGCTTGCTGCTTGTGACGCTGTGCGTGGTGTGCAGTTTCTGCTCAGGCACAGAGGCAGTCATACCCCTTCATGCAAAGGTACAGTGTTTACGAGATCTGCGCCAGCAAAAGAAGCTGAAAAAGAAGCTTCAGCAGTTCGTCTTGCCGAGTGTGGAGGTCCCTGTGCTTTGGTGTCATGGCACGTTGCTTCACACTCTGCCAGCCCCTTGGGTCCTGGGCCCGCCCTGCCCACCCTGCCCGCGGAGCCTTCCGCGGACCCAGCTGGTTCCAGAGTCGGCGCGGGGAGGTTGTAACAGCTGTGCCAGGCGCGTCTTGCGCTACTCGCTGCCCTTGCCGTCCTTGCCACTTCACTTGAGTACGTCCTGCTCTGCAGGCACGATGCGACGGAAGGCAGACCTGCCTTGGAACCCGACTCCGGGGCCCTTGCCGCCGATACTCAGGTGCGAGCCTCCCAAAATGTCAAGGCTCGAGCCGCCCTGCAGGCGCCCCACACAGCGACCGGCCCCGGGCCCGATCACACCTCTGTTTGTGCACATCGCAGCTTCACCAAGCAAGCCTCGCCCGTTCTTGGTCCCCGAGTCGCCCGAGTGGCCAGCAGACGCTGTGCGACAGCCGTGGAAAGAGACACGGTCAGCTTGCACACTTCCCGAAATGGCTTGGGTGCAGCAGCCACGTGCATCAAGTGTTGAGCACCAGAACCTCTGCATGGATCCGGCGCCGAAGGACAGAGCACTCTGTGCAAGCATCGCCGAGACACCCGCGGTCCCCGCGATGCCTATACTTGTGCCTCAGGCTACTGATGCTCGGGTTCAACTCAGGGTGAAGCTTCACTGGGGGCTGCAGGGCTCTTCACTTGAGCTCGCATCGCCGCAGAAAGGAAGCAGCCCCAGCCAGCCACGGAGGCAGCTGGTTCCACAGTCACCGGCATGGCCTGCAGCAGGCATGCGGCGAGTGCTTTGCAGGGAGACACTGTCCACTTGCACACTTCCCGAAATGGCTTGGGTGCAGCAGCCATGTGCATCAAGTGTTGAGCACCAGAACCTCTGCATGGATCCGGCGCCGAAGGACAGAGCACTCTGTGCAAGCATCGCCGAGACACCCGCGGTCCCCGCGATGCCTATACTTGTGCCTCAGGCTACTGATGCTCGGGTTCAACTCAGGGTGAAGCTTCACTGGGGGCTGCAGGGCTCTTCACTTGAGCTCGCATCGCCGCAGAAAGGAAGCAGCCCCAGCCAGCCACGGAGGCAGCTGGTTCCACAGTCACCGGCATGGCCTGCAGCAGGCATGCGGCGAGTGCTTTGCAGGGAGACACTGTCCACTTGCACACTTCCCGAAATGGCTTGGGTGCAGCAGCCATGTGCATCAAGTGTTGAGCACCAGAACCTCTGCATGGATCCGGCGCCGAAGGACAGAGCACTCTGTGCAAGCATCGCCGAGACACCCGCGGTCCCCGCGATGCCTATACTTGTGCCTCAGGCTACTGATGCTCGGGTTCAACTCAGGGTGAAGCTTCACTGGGGGCTGCAGGGCTCTTCACTTGAGCTCGCATCGCCGCAGAAAGGAAGCAGCCCCAGCCAGCCACGGAGGCAGCTGGTTCCACAGTCACCGGCATGGCCTGCAGCAGGCATGCGGCGAGTGCTTTGCAGGGAGACACTGTCCACTTGCACACTTCCCGAAATGGCTTGGGTGCAGCAGCCATGTGCATCAGGTATTGCATACCAGGACAGTTGCATGGAGAAGGAGCCGCAGGCTACAATGGCTACAACCAGAGATTTGTGTGCTACCATCGCCAAGCCACCCACTTTGCCTGCGATGCCGGAACATGTGCTCAATGGAATGGATGCGCAGGATCGACGTGACAAGCTGCCGCCTCACTGCGAGGTGTCCGGCCCTTCCGTCGAGCTCCCGGCATCGCACCGCAGCGGCAGCGAGCCACGCGAGCTGTCAGTCCTGGAGTCGCCAGCATGGTTTGAAGCGCCCCGCGGCGGGAGAGGAGGAGGACTGGTATGCAGCGAGTCACTGACAGCATCTTCGCTTCCAGACATGTCTCGTGCTTTTGTTATTTCCCCCTCGCTGGAGCGTGTCCGTGGGGTTCCGGAAAGAATGGATGGGCCGCTTCTCGGCTGGAAGCGCTGGACAGCCGAATTTTTCTAGATTGCCTTTGCATCTAGGACGACCTCTGCAGAAGTTGAAAAGAGCCTTCCAAAGGCTGAAGGCGTTAACGACTAGTCAGGCCAACTGAGTCGAAGACTCGGACGCTTGCAAAGAAAGCTCAAAAGGAGCTCAGGCTGGCCGGCTCCACATTTGCATGCAAAACACGTGTAGCGCTTTGCCTGTGCTTCTCTAGAGCGGCGGCTTTTGCGGCCTTCGGGATGCGGCGCTACACGGGAGTGGCAGCGGGTTTCCCCGAAGCAGCAGGTGCACCGCTGGGCCAGCCGCCCGGGTGCAGACACCATTTGCGCTGGGGCCCCGTCCGAAGCTGCTTCCGGTGTGCCTCTTTGTCTTTGGTTCCGTCAAGCTACCTTCTCGGAATTCTACGGAATTCTAGGGTTTAGGGTTCGGTACAGGGTGCAGGCTTGGGGTCCGTCCACGGAAGGTCCAAAACTTGAAGAGAAAGGACTGTTGAGGGAATTTTTGTTTGTTTGCGCCTGGCTTCATGCAACTTCCTCAGGGACGTTTTTTTGGGTCAGTCTGTTCAAGGCGGTGAAAGCTTGGACAAAGCACCTCTCAAGTTCCCAGCCCTCGAACCTCGAGCTTGAGATCCTGCACTGAAACACAATCGCCACACCCAGGACAACCAGAAGTCTCCAAAGACAGCGTCCGCGCCTCGCTGGCACAGGCCCCGACCCAACACGCTGACAGAGGGTCCCAAAAAGGTTTCAAGTTTAACAGTTTCACGGAATTGCGGTCGCAGTTTTCGCTCACTGAGGTGCGTCATGAGAGGCAAAGCTGACGGCCTGGGAATTGAGAGCTGCAGCCCCAGCTAGATCGACCTATATCGCTGCTGTGTCGCCAACTTGCTCCTCACGCAGAGTCGGAGCGAAAGAGAACGTGCTTGACTGCTTGTAGTTCGTCCTGGGCCAGGCTTTTGAGGAGCATCGGATCTCGGATGTGAAGCCTTCAGTCGCGCGAACTTCTAGTGCTATTGCTTGGGTCCTGCAGTCCACAGTTGTAGACGGGTGCTGGGAGGCATGAGGCGAGTCCAGGTCGTGGGGAAGGGAGTGGTTGGAATCAAGGAAACCGTGCTTGACCGTTGTGGCTCGGAAGACCACCTCATCTTAAGGATTGGTGGTGAAGTGTGAAGGCATTCCTTGCATACTGCTGTAGTGGCATACAATTGAGGGAAGCAGTGCTCAGGAGATTCCAGGAGCATAGAGAAGCAGTGCTATGCTAACCATGACTCCTGAATAGGTTGCTTGCTTTCATGCTCATCTCGCCTTGGGGCCATGCTTCGTCGTTGCTGCCGTTGTTTGCTTGTGGCTTCGATGGCGCCTTGGGCGCCTGGGAGCGGCTGCGGGATCTCTCCGACTCGGGCGGCGCTCTGATGCCCTCGGCCCGCGCGGAGCACGCCGGCGCCTGGGACGCCTTGAGTCGGACTCTGCTCGTGCAGGACGGCAGTGGCCTGGTGGGTGACTTGTGGGCCTACGACGTGGAGGTCCAGGCCTGGATACGGAGGTCGGGTCAAGGCCCTGCGCCCCGGGCGTCTCACGCGGCCGGCTGGGATCAAGCCGCCCGAGCGCTCTGGGTGCATGGCGGCTACGGCTACGACGGCTCGACGACGAAGTGGTACCGGGACGTGTGGAGGCACCAGTCCGGGACTTGGACTTTGGAAGCCGGCGACGGAGGGCCGTGCGAACGTGAAGGCCACGTGATGGTTTGGGATCCCGGCACGGCGTCGCTGCTCGTGCATGGCGGCTGGACTGGTGCCAAGTGGCTGTCCGACTTGTGGACTTACAAAGCGGTGTCCAAGGAGTGGCAGCAGCTGAACATCAGCGATGCGCCGATGGCTCGCTCGCACCACGTGGCGGTCTGGGATGGGGCTGGCCGGAGGGTCTGGCTGCATGGCGGCTACGGAACGGGCCTCTTCGCAGATCTGTGGATCTTGGACCGCGGCCGCTCTTCTGTCTGGGCGGAGGTGGCGTTTGCGGGAGGCCCCACAGCGAGGTCGGGCCATGCAGTGGCCTGGGATGAAGCGGCTGCCGCCCTCTGGCTGTATGGGGGGAACGATGGCTTCATGAAGCAGGACCTTTGGAGATACGATTCTTCGGCAAACAGCTGGGATCTCATCAGGGACATTGTGCAATCCGGGCCATCGGCACGCTGGTCTCATGTTGCTGCCTGGGATGCGGGAGCCCAGGCCGTCTACATCTACGCAGGCTACAACGGGACACTGTGCGGAGACCTCTGGAGATTTCTGGTGACCACGACCTCGACTACACACTCCAAGACAAGTTCCTCCATAACTTGGACTATCAGCTCCAGCACCACGACCTCCCGGACAAGTACTTCACATACACAGTCGTCAAGTACCACCGCGAGCACCAGCTCAAGCAGCAGCTCTAGCAGCACCAGCAGCAGCTCCGCGACGTCAAGCTGGAGCACCACAAGCACCAGAACATCCAGCACAGGCAGCACCACAACCTACACGTCCACTTCAAGCACCAGCACCAGTTCAAGCAGCAGCTCTAGCAGCATCAGCAGCAGCTCCACGACATCAAGCTGGAGCACCACAAGCACCAGAACATCCAGCAGCAGCACCACCACTACCGACACGTCCACTTCGAGCAGCAGCACGAGTTCAAGCAGCAGCTCTAGCAGCACCAGCACCAGCTCCACGACATCGAGCTGGAGCACCACAAGCACCAGAACATCCAGCAGCACCACCACCACAACCTACACGTCCACTTCAAGCACCAGAACCAGTTCAAGCAGCAGCTCTAGCAGCACCAGCAGCAGCTCCACGACATCAAGCTGGAGCACCACAAGCACCAGAACATCCAGCAGCAGCACCACCACTACCGACACGTCCACTTCGAGCAGCAGCACGAGTTCAAGCAGCAGCTCTAGCAGCACCAGCACCAGCTCCACGACATCGAGCTGGAGCACCACAAGCACCAGAACATCCAGCAGCACCACCACCACAACCTACACGTCCACTTCAAGCATCAGCACTAGCTCAAGCAGCAGCTCTAGCAGCACCGGCAGCAGCTCCACGACGTCAAGCAGCACCAGCAGCAGCTCCACGACGTTAAGCTTGAGCACCACAACCACGGCAACATCGAGTACTACAAGCGCCACGACCCGCACTTCCACTTCAAGCACTAGCGCTACCTCAAGCAGCAGCTCTAGCACTGTAACATCCAGCACCGCCACCGCCACGACTTTCACTTCCACATCAAGCACATCTCGCACAGGCAGCAGCACTTCAGGGACGCAGACAACCTTGACCGACACTTCAAGCACGCATACTTCAATCACGACAAGTTCGCTCACGATGACCACTACAACTGCCACAGGCGGATGGGTGGCAGTGGCTTATCCAGAGGTTCCAGAATGGGTCTTATGGATTTTTGCCATCTTCGTGGCAGTTTTTGTGCTGCCGGTCTCTATCGTTTGTTTCCGATACCACCTGTACCGGGCAGTTGTCGTGCCAGTCACGATCCAAGAGCCCTTGACTTCCAAAGCACCTCAGCCAGTGGATCTCCCACGGCCATGCGTGACGTCCTGGCTGCTGCTGACGCTTCCGGTCCTGTCAATCGCATCGCCTCCACCGCCCTCGGTTCATTCGGGTGCTCGGATCAGCATCCGACTGCGATCTGGGATGAGGGACTCTTCTTTCAATGCCGTGCAGGTTAGCAACTTTGCAGGTGGTCGCAGTGAGCCGCGGATACAGTTGGTACCGGAGTCACCAGTATGGCCGCCGGTGCGGACTGGGGGACCGCGGCTATGCAGGGCTCCATGGCCCATTTCTCCACTCCCTGAGTTGGTCTGGGCACAGCCAGGTGCGACAAGCCAACATCCGCAGCTGCAAATAGGCCGAGTACCGGCGAGCCAGCAGCCCGTGCCCTTAAGTCCGATCACGCGGCTGAGCATTCGCAGCATGGCCAGCTTCCGGGTTCACGAGCGTCTGCCTGCGCCACCACTGGGTGAATTACTCCGGCGCAGCACTCCACGCACTCGGCTAGTTCCAGAGTTTTCGGCAGGGGCAGTTCAGAGCTGCTCCAGGCGAGTCTTGCGCTGTGAGGCCAGCTTGGCAGTGACCTTGCGGCGTCCAAGGACGCAGCCGCAAAACTCTCAAGAGACGACGCGCGAGCTGGCCGACCTGCCACCGGAGCCGACTCCCCCACTCGCGCCGATTCTCAGGCTGCGCCATTCCGAAAAAGTTGATCCTCCCAGCATGTCAAGGCTCGAGCCCCCCAGCAAGCGCCCAAGACAGCGACGGGTGCCCATCTCGCCGCCTGTCCACGTTGCAGCTTTGCCAAGCAGACTCCGTGTGCGACTGGTTCCCGAGTCACCCGAGTGGCCTGCAGCAACGCGTGCGAGAGTGCATCCAGTCAGAGATCCTTGCATTGCTGGACGTGGCCTGGAAACTCCTGCAACTCGGCCTTGTGGTGAAGCGCATCTTTCAGGTCTCCGGCGAAGAGACCTCCAGCATGATAGCAAGAAGCAGAAGCGAACGGAGTCGCACAAACAGGGCGGCAGAAAGCTTGACAGCAGGAGTGTCAGACTCCACAGCCCTGGCACAGACAGGACAAGCCAAAGCAGCTTGCGCCGCACCTACGGCTCACAAGGCCTTTTGCGAGCACTTCAAATGTCCGGCAGCGCTCAAAGCAGAAGTAGCACTAGACATAGTAGTCCTGGTAGCCCATGCTTGAAACTCAGCCAAAGAGCTGACTCCAGCGAGGCTTTCCGTGCTGAAAGCCGAAGCACGGCTCGGGCACAAGATGGCATCGCAGGGTTCTCTCCGTGAGAGTTGCCAGAGTCGCCAAAGCATGCCCTAGGCCCTAGGCCGAATCCCGAATTGAGGCAGGCCGGCCCCGGCAAAGCGATGAAGGCTCCAATCTGCCACGGAGAGAAGAAGCGGAGATTTCGAGTGCTTTTTCTGCCCTTCTGCACTGACGTCTCAGCCAAACTGTGATCATGAAGTCGCAGACATTGCATCGGGTCGCAGGCATAGCATAGCTGCGTAGAGCTGCGTAGTGCTGCGTAGAGATGCATGATCGTGCATGACGGTATGTTGATCACAATATTTCATTGGAATTCTCTGACTTGAGCTTCTGTTCATGGCATGCCTCGGCGCTCGAACATGGCATTCCTGGCCTGAGGCGTTCAGGTGCCGGCTGGAGCACCTGGTGTAAGTGAGCGGAGTGCTGCTTCCTTTCCTGCAGGCGACAGGATGGACCGCAGAAGCAGCATCGCCGACCGTGCCACCATGGACAACCCCCACGCAGTAGGGTCCTCAGAAAAGCTTTCGTGTTGGAACGTGACAAAGCGTTCGGGCCTGAGGTATCCTGCTCGGTGCAGCGGCTGCTTATGCTTACTGTCTGCGAACAAACCCGAAAGGCGGGGGTGTCACATGCTTATTGGTTTGGGACCGCGACAGCTTGTTTGGAGGAGCCCGGAGACATGCAAAGCCAGGCTTCCCGCTGCAAGTCAGACAGAAGGCACGGGCAATTCTCGTTAGGCAAGCTCCTGGCAGTCTGCACACGAAACTCTCCTCATCTGTTGTTGGGCGGCCCGGGCGGGGAGTCACGCTGCTCCCCAGATGGTAGGCAGCTGCGAGCACCAACGGCAAACAGCAAATTGCAAGATGTGGACAGTCGCGAGACGATGTCGGGAGACCGCCTTGAACCAACACTACTACTGCATACTATCATTACTATCACCGGTTTCGCCTCTATCCCTTTTACTGTGCAACAAGTGACACTGGGCCCACGTTGGCACGGCCACTGTTTCGGCTCGCTACTCTTACAGCTACAAGGATGACACGACAACGACCACGACGACAATCTTCCTCTGCTCTTCCTGAGCTGCACCGGCTCCTGGTGCTCTGCGGCGGCTGCTTCGGTTGCTGCCTTCGCAGTGGTAGTACCAGCAGCAGCATCAGGCCCGGGCAGTGACAGCTGCAGCAGCAAGAGTACTAGCAGCAGCAGCAGCATTGGTGGTAGTGGTAGTCGTCTAGGTAGAAATTGAAGCAGAAGTAACAGTGGGAGTATGGGGTCAGCTCGTACGTGCATGGCGAACCGTTTGAACAGGGTCGTTGAGGCGTCGAAGGCTTTTTACCGGCTCATTGTGGCGCAGCCGATCGAACGTTCGTGGTCTGAAATTGTTGAGAAGAGCGCTCCGATGTACTTCGTCTTGATCCAGCATAAATGCTTGAACCCCTCGCAGAACGGAGCGTCCGGTTTTTCGGCTCGACAATGTCGGATCTGATGTGGATGCCCATCGCTTGCTCTTACCGCAACCGGACAGCGAGTAAGCAACCACTATTTATGCAGTCCGGGCTTTGCGCAGGGCAGTCAGGGTGTGTTCATTGCAGCGTCCGTCCGCCTGCCTTATGCCGAGTTCAACGCCGGCCGGTAGAAGACGGATCATGGCAATGCGGCAGGATGCAGATGTGATACTGGGAGCCCAGTGACACGACGCAAGAGAAACGAACTTGGGCAAACTTACGTAGCACCAACACCACTCGTCCGAGGCAGCACAGTTGGTCCCCACTTGTGCTGTTCTCTCGCGACTCTTTTTGGTGGTACAGAACGAACAAAAGGCTTGAAAACACGCCATAATGCAAAACGCACGCCTTTTCACCGCACGACAGAGATCGCTGTGCACCCTTTCTGTGGGCCGCACGCAGCAGGGTTTTTGTGGATGGCTGGTTCGGCATGTTGCTGCACTTGTTTTGCTGCCCTGTAGCTCTGCCAACTTCTCGCCTGAAAGGCGGGCGTGATGTGAGGCAGTCAACATTTTACTTTTGATGCAGCATTAGCATTGTTCCGACGGTAATTGGGCACAGCAAAGTTGTGCTGTCGAGCAAAGTTGTGGCTGTGTGGAATGCGGGTATGGCACAGCTTCGTCAATGCGTTCGTGAGCTCGTCAAGCTCGTTGCGTCGGCGATTGCCATGCGGCTGTGCCATTGTGTCTACATGCAGATTGGTGGCTGGCTGCCGGACTTTGCATTACGAAAGGCACCGAAGTAGTCGGACTGCTGGCTGGGAAGTCTAATGATCCAGGAACCGCGGCCCAAGCAGAGCAGGATCCGTGTCAAGATGTCAAGTGGGAGTTGGATGTGCAGGGTTGTGCTGAGGAGTGGCGATCCAGTTGTGCGAAATTCTCGACTGGAAGGTATGTGACGTGGTTGTGCCGTGAAGATGCAAAGCAGACTTGCCGAGGTGCTGGAATGGGAAGTTTGCGGCACGCAATTGCTGAATTCTCCCGCAAGCGTGATGTGGTTGTGCTATGTTGTGCTGTCGACTTGCGCTTCACAATTCCATTCTGTTGGGAACCGTCGACAGCACAGCCTTTGGCTGCATTGAACTGCGATCAAACTGCGGTGGCCGGCCAAGAGCACCGGGTACGTCTCTCTGCGCTTCCGTGTTGCCGCATGGGCAGCGACTTCAGTGCCTTGGTACATGGTTGGCCAGCAATTCCATGTGGCGGGCGTCCGCCAGCGGCGCGTCGATGTTCATATCCTGCAGCATGATGTGACTGACCTGACCCCGGGCTTCGCGGCAAACTGGCACGAGTCGGGAATGGAGACATCATCCGACGTGGGTGAAGCCTCGGCCTGCGTGCGGCGCAGCATGGGATAGCAGCAGGAGCAAGGTGGGTCTCGAGCGCGCGCTTATCGCAGGCGTGGGAAGCTCTGCGTTGCCGGCCGCGGAGGAAATTCGGCGGGCTCGTCGTGTCGGGTGTACGGCTCCGGCACAGCGGACAGCTTCATTCCAAGGCGGCACTGCAGAGCCTTGTGCTGCTAGGCAGGCCGCGGCTTGGGTCGTTGCAAGGAGCGACGGCAAGCGGGCGGCGCCTTCGGCGTGCAAAGCGGCGAGCAAGCGCAGCAGGGGGCACAAAAGCTTGGATAACCGGCAAGATGTCCATCCAGGAAGCCCAAGGCAGCGTGTCGGTCAGCCTCGGCCACGCGCAGACCGAGTCCGCCAAAGCGGTGCGAGTTTTACCGGCGCGCGCCGGTTGAGGGGGCAGCGGAGTGTCCGCAAGGCCCAGGGGTGTTGAGAGGCAGCGGCCGACGGCAGCGTCATGCGAAGAGGCATAGGCCGACGTCGTGGCTTTTCAGGCAGCGAAGCAGGTGGTTTGAGCGGGGAACCGCGAAGTGATGCAGCAACAGCCAGGCCGCCTGCAAGTCTTGAACAAGCGGGATACGCTGCAAAAGGCAGTCGTGCTCTTCGCGCTTGAGCTCCAGGCGCCGTCGGACGTAGGCATCGCTCCAAAAGGCGTGCCGAGAACAGTGAGTCCCTGTTGTGGTGGCGGGAGCGCCCGGTCGCCGACCCACACAGCGTTGTCAGCGTCGGCTTGCAGCTCAGAGATGCCTGGGGGGATCCTGGGGGTTCCTCGCCTGCTGCATTCCAGACCGAATTTTGCGGCAGTTGAGTTCGACGCCCGCGTGTGTCCGGAAGGCCCGCTGGTACAGCAGGGGACAGCTCGTGGACCCGCTCCGGTCAGCGGATCCCTTGTTCGCCTCCTTCCGCCTGTGCAATGCTGTGGGAGGCGCCCCTCATCAGTCCATGTGCACATCGCTCGGCGGGACACGTGATCATAGGCGCCCACCGCGTCAACGGAAAGGCTGGTGGCACGCGGGTCGACTTCAGTCGCTGCGCGCAGGACGCGCGAGCCTCAGCACCAGCACGCGTGCTGAGGCCGTACTGGTAAGGCAGGCACGCGCTTTCGAGTAGTCGCTGTGCAAAAGCTTGCGCGAGTGCCCGTCCAACCAGCCGGCGCAGGACGTCGCCGATTACGAGGGCGCGAGTACCACGCCCGTCCGGCTTTTGCAGGGCGACGATCCGGCCGACGCGGATGGCGGCAAGAGCACATTTGCAGAAAGGTGTGTCGGACCGTGTAGAATTATATATAGCACAGAAATATATACAGAAATGCTAAAATGTTGCAAGCGGGCGTTATCGATGCTCCGTGCGCGAACAATGAATTCAAAATCATTTCGGCGAAACGTACATTCGTGGAACCATGCAACCCATGCTCAGCTGCTCGGCAACCTCTGACAAGAGCGCTCGCGAGGGATGGCACGCGCAACAAAACGACGTGTAGCGCAAGGCACCGCAGGGCGCGAACGAGAGTAGCAAGGGAATGGCTTGCACACCCCCACGCAAACATTCGCGCAGCTGCACAGGCCGGAGGCCTCCGAGCGCCAGCAGGAGCAGGTGGTAGCACGCACCGGCATCGGCCGGCCGGGTCTGCGGCGCACGGCAACGCAGGCCACTGACAAACACGTGCTCGAGATTCTATCGGCAAGCCTATACACCTCCGCAGGCAGAAACATGTGAAGCGCCTCCGTCCGGGAAGAGCAAACTCAAAAGCCGCCCCTTCGGCGGCTACAACACGCACGGCGAGCAACTGAGTAAACAGCGGAAAACCGACCTCAAGAGCAGGAACGGGCCAATGCCACCTCGGTTTAACGAAACAATGAGTAGCTTCACACAGTTTTTTTGCGGATGTTCAAGCTGACAAGGGCCGTGTTTTCTTGGAACCCGACGGCAGCGTCGAAGCGGTTGGCCTCGTCAACGGCTGCACCACCCGTTGACTTAAGAGACCGATGATTGGATCTATTTTTGCGCTTGCGGAGCGGGTGTCTACATCGAGAGTACCTAACATTTCTGGATGCGCGAGGAAGCGGCTGTCGAGCACAGGCGGTACATGAATGTTCATGTCGCGAAACAAGACATTGTAGGCTCCCGCTTCGCGGCGGATTCTTGCGGCTTCCCGCTGGAGGCCGCGCAATAGTCACCCATAACTTTAAAGGCCCCGCCGCATCAGCACCATCGTGGGGCGTAGGGCACAAGCACCTGGAGGCCACAAAGCAGCAGGCTGTGGGAAACGCGGTAACAGCCCAAAGCCCGCCAGACAAAGCACTGAAAGCCCGATCAAGGTCACATGCTGTCCTGTCTTGGCAGGCCACGGTGGCGCAACCCCGCAGCGTCTCACCATGCATCAGCGATTCGCGCGCGGATGGTGGTTGGTCGCCAGCCTGCAAACATCCCACGATCTCCCACGGTGGCACTTCGAAGCCTTGCGCCCACTCTACGGGCCGGCACTACGCCTCCGTGTGCTGCGGCGATCGCATGTGCCCAACAAGCAACTTCTTGATGGTTGTCGTGCATGAAAGCGTGCTACAGCCGCAGGGTGCGACGCGCCGAGGGCGAGGGGCAGCCAGGCGCACTGAGGGTCTGGGTGTTCGGGTTGTTTATGTTGTTGTCTTCCAACAAGCAAGTTAGAAAGTGTCACTGCTACGCAAATCTTATTACCACTCAGTGTCACCACATGGTCCCAGCTAAGCGTCAGCAAATGCTTGTCCGCCCAGGCCTACATGAATGCCGGATGCCCGATGGGCACGCCGAGAAGCCGCGTTCGCGTGGCGGTTTGTCGCTTCGCCATCCTCGGGCGGCTCTGGCACTCCGTTTTCTGCCATGGTTACAAGCTATCCCACAGGTAGTTGCGACCTCGCCCGCCACGACATCACGTTCAACCCGCGCGCGAGGCAGGGTTGTGAAAACGTAGACGTCGTCCAAAAACGTGCAAACCTCTTCGTCCGCTTGGAACGACCATCATTACGACCGCGCCATATCGAATTTTGTAAAGATGATGTCCCTTAATTTGGTCCGACCTGTCATCCATGTCCTTGTGGGACCGTGGTCGCTGACTGTCGCGACCGCGTGCTGTTGCCGACCATGGATCCAGCTTCCCACGCACTCCTGCGGTCCGAGGCAGGGCCACAAGCCGGGGCTTGGCTGACCGCCATCCGG